TATATATATAGTATGGTAAATTGATCTATATGAATAGAACAAAACTGTAAAAAATAAGGTTATGCAACATAAAATTATTCTAAATTATTACATTATTTAAAAATTAAGAAAATGTTCCAGGATCACTAGGATCCGTATGTTTCAGGTAACGGATTAACGTAGATGTAATTTGTAAGAATACTGTGTCAATTGTGTATCTCTGCTTCGGTTACGATAATTTGAAAAGAGTTAATTAAGTGTCTAATGCAACTTCTAATCATAACGCGCTAATGCAAAACCTTCATGCTCGGAAAAAATAGCAAATAAGTCGCGAACCACTATGCCTCTCAGTTCTTAACCATAAAAGTCTCGCGATTACGTCACGTTCGTGAGTCACAATGTCTGTTGGCCTAAAAACACTGTTACCACAGCGAGCCATCACATGTCAATAATTTCCCGAAGAGCATCTCGTCAAGGACGACAGTCTTGAATTTTAATAAATTCGCATTGCACCGCCGAAAAAAATGGCGTTATTGTTTACTTCTACTTACGCGTGAGTAGATTTACATTAGCGATCGGAAATATGTCTTTCAATTATTCTAACGCTATACACAAACATTCACGGATGAGAAGCGTATGAAAACGATCGAACCCGATAACATGATATCAAACGCGCCCACGCTATTGATCCACCCACATTGGCTCGATCTTTACAGAGAGATGGAGCGCTCGAAAGAGCAACAATGATCATCAGCCGTTCCATTCAAAGCTCGAATTCGTTTTGGCTTTGCAATTACCTTTGCGAGTCCACCACGCGAATTGCGCTATAGTAATGCGGCAGGTGGAAGTAAAAAGTGAAAGCCAATTATAAACCTTTGATATATTCCCGCTCGGAAATCGCGTGCACTCACGGTAGTTGACGTTTCTCTTTGCGCGATTTTGAAAGATCGACAGCTTAAAGGAATTTTACATTTTTATTTATCCAATATTAATGTATTGGTTTTTATTATTTAATTAGTTAATTATAATAGATATAAATTAAGTTTACAATTTATATTATTTAATGTTAATTTAAAAAATTCTGATTTATTGCACAGTTTAAAAAATGCTGAGATGAGACTAGTTAGTTTTCCTAGTAATTTTTTGAACGCTGAATAATAAATCCGATTTTCAAATTGCTCCATCACGTCACAATTTGAAAAATTGACAATTAAAGTAGCCAAAATGGAGTTTTTTTTATATGTTTTGTTATGTTAAAATTATGATATATATAGATGACACGCAAGAGAAATAAATTCTGTATTTAACTATGCATTTGAGGACTGAATTCTAACAATATAGATACTTAATTTTAATTACAATAGAACTTCTTCAGTTCTTTGCACATCATAATTATAATATAACAAGATATGTGAAAATAGGTTTTTTGCAACTTTTGTAAATTTCTCTAAATTGTGACATGATGCAGCAATTTAGAAATCGAATTCGTATTCAGCATTCAAAAGAATTGTAGAAAATAACTAATTTCTTTCCAATGTTCGAAAAAAATTATTTTTTTGTTGGACTGTGTTATTAATCCAATTAACACTTCATGATCAGGAAGATGTTAATTTTATGTCGGAATATGTTCGACATTTTGTTAGGAATCTGTAAGTAATAAATTTCTAAACGCAAAACAAGCCATATATTTATTTGGCCGATGGTTATTACGATGCATCCACTTATGGGGGCACTTATGCTTTGTAGCTAATACCAGCATGAAACTCTATTTTAAGTGTAATTATTTGGAACTCGAGGAACTGCATCGTTTTCCGTGCACACACACCGAACCGATCTATTTTCACCCGCGATATTACCACTCTGCCAGTAGCGAATTACAGATACGCAACATTTGTCCTAAGTGTTTATGACGCCAACGCTGCAACCTTTATCGGAGTATTTAGCAAGCGTATCTCAATTTAACGAAAGGCAGTTCGTAATTCCGTGAGAAATATGCGAAATTTGTTAATTCCAAACTAATGTTATATTTTTTAATTACATTTACATTGTTCTTCTTCTTTTTGCTTGTATCTAAATAATTATATTTAAATATAAAAGTTGTATTTTGTATAATAATAAATGAAAATACTATCTTTTAAACCATATTAATGTTGTTAGATATTGACAAAGTTAAATGGATAATTTATAAACGGTAATCATTTTGTAATGTTATATAATAAGGATATATATAAATAATAAATAAAGATTTATCAAATTTGATATCGATATCGTTTTTCCTCAAGAAAATTCAATAAATAATTTTTTTGTTAAAATTTAAACAAGATAATTTAGATTATATTGTGGAATATTATGTACATATTTGTGTGCTAAGATTTATTGTTGATTTATGTCCATTCATTGTTTCAAAAATAACGAAACTTTCGTTATTTTTACAGAACGAGAACACCGCAAGCAATAGACAGCTGAAATATGGCAGCACCGCAGGCGTCGTCGCGTCTCGAGATGCTGCAGGTAAAATAATCAATTTTATCTCGTTTAAAAATGGCAACATTAAAAAAGATAAGTTTCCATCGACAGACAAATTAATAGGTTTACTTAAGAACGAACGTTCTTCAGCAGGTGGCATTATTCAAAAGCCACTTGTATATAATTGTCGTATAATTAGTAATAAAATCTAAATTAAATATAAATTAGTGTATGTATAAAATAGTGGAATTGAATTTTATTTCTTTATAAATTTTTTAATAATAATTTTAATTATTATTAAATATTTCAAATGTAATTTCGAATGTAACAAAATTTAAAAGGTCTACTAATTTCAAATAAAGATTGCATTACCGATTAAATAAATAATATGCATTTGTTAATGTATAATAATGATTAATAATTATAATAAGGATATAATATAATAATTACTATTAAATGAATTATTATTAATTTCTTTCGCTAATATGGTTGTGGAAGCTTATTCTCTGAAAAAGTTTATTCTTGACTATGACGCTTCATTACATCAGATATTAATCATAATGTCCATAAAATAAATCGTGTGCATCTGCGAAGATTTTATACTAAAAAATTTTATAGAAAAAGGCATTTTTGATTAGAATTTTTTATGAAAACGCAATAAACAGTACATCGATTTTTGTGTCACTACCGTTCTACTTTCTATCTCTCTCTCTCTCTTTCTCTCTCTCTCTCTTACTCTCTCTCTCTCTCTCTCTATATATTACTTGTAATATTGAAGTATATTCTGGTTAAGGTAGACCGGTTAAGACAGCTTTGACTCGTGTTCTTTTGGCCCACGTATCGTTTCTGTACCGAGCGAACGCATATATGGCATCTTGTTCAGGCAACGCGCGCACAACAATCGACCCACGTATCGATATATCCAAATCCGATGGACAGCTAATATTTAGACGAATATCAAGCGCAGACCTTTCTTCCGCCTACTTTTCTACTATTATATTTCTCAGTATATGAATATTAAAAAAATCAATAAATTCAACGCGCGCACAAGAATTACATAAGAAGTTCAAAATAAATTCGTTGCCGAATCACAGCTATTTTTTTCATATTTCAATATAATTTATGTTCTCTTGAATAATTTTATTAATAACCATTTTTCAAAGATTTCAATAATAATGCACATTTAGGAAATCATTATCTGCTTCGACCATTTTGTATAAAATGGATGAATAATTAATACGATAAAAGTGACTTATAAAAAAAAAAAAAAAAAACTTGCGAAGTGAAATTTAATACAATAGATATTTATATGTTATCTTTCTTTTTATTTTGTTTCTAACTGAGTTTACTTTCGAAATCGTGACTACATATTGGAAAACCCTCTGTATACGAACTTTAATACCTGACTTTAATCTCTTACACGACACACCTCTAAGGGCAATCCCCGGCAAAAGATGGGCCTACGGAGAAAAGAATAGCGAGACTTGAAGGGAGTAAAAAAAGTGGACGCTTGGTTTGTCAACCATGACCGACCATTGAGAGACTTGTAACCATAATACTGTGACATCACTTCCTTTGAATTGAGATGCGTCATACGACAGACTTTTTAAACGTATTATCTTTATAAAACTACATTTAAAAAAAGAATCTTCACCACTGTTTATAAAAAAATGGATATTCTGTCTTCATGTTCTAATTTTGCAAATGTTTTTGCATTAAATGACATTTATTATCTATGTATAGCATTATCCTATAGATTCTATTGATTGTAGATAGTCTATAAATTGGACCTGATGTCATTCAATGATGTGAATTATTACATCCTAAAGCGGACTAATTATTCAATAACGTACATAATTATTACATGATATGCCAAGCTATACACAGTGTTTTCTCGTAAATTTTGTAATACGATAATATGGATTTTAAATTATCTAAACATGACTTCAAATACAAACACTTGTACGTGTTCATAATTCAACAGTCATTCTAAAAAATCTTTTTAGAAAAAACTTCCGAAGTGTCAGTCTGCTTCAATTCTCAATAATTCTTCCTTCTCACATTTATCGTTTTTTTTTTTTGGACGCCTTGATTATATTATGATAATATTCTTAACGAAACTATTCTTTGAATTTACGTATTGCATGTCATTTGACTTGAAGATGAAAAATCAAACGAAAATCTTCATGTTAAATAATTTACGTAGCCAAGTTTACCTTTTCTATTTCGACGCATCACGATTTTTATGCTACAATAAATAGTTTTTGCATATTCCATTTTGTGTGGGCGTATAAGAAGAAGATCAATCTTTCATATTAAATCTTCTTAATGCTTGCTTATCAAAAAAGCTATCAAAAAATCGCGAGTAGTTATCTTTCGGCTAAAGAAGTTATTAATTAAATTGAATTCGAGATAATAATTGAAATGTAATCTGCTAGAGAATCAAGTTGAAGAATTAAATTGTATAGCATTATCATGCGATATATTTTACTGATACACCAAAGTTATGAATATTATCTTTACTTGATCACTAATTCGGATTAATTTATAGATTATTAAAATTAACATAAAAATACTGCCAGTTATTGCAGCACATCAAAAATTTATATCATGCTGAGATAAAGAGATATTGTAAAAATCAAATGATCTCATGTTAAACAAAAAAGATTTCTTTTTTTTAATGGTTGAGCTAATTCATTAAATCGCACTAATGTGATGATAATAGATATAATAATTAATCTAACGATAAGATTCAAAATAATTTTGCGCGATTGAAATTGTTGTACTTTATGATAATTGCCATGTTTTGAATTTTGTATAAGGTATAAGAGATAGTAAATAAACACGCAATTTCCAAGAAAAATTAAAAACATTAATGCAGATAGAGTTAATGCAGAGTTAATGCGGAATGCATTATAAGCAATGTGCGATTCATCTTTGGGTAATCTTAATATTAACGCGCAAAAATGATCGAATAGCCGAGTGAACGACGCACATATTTCGCAGTGCCCACGCTTGACCTTCCTGCATCGAAGGTGTGAGTCGAAAAAAAAAAAATATCGAATGCATTACGTCATTATCGCTTGAAGTATGCAACTCGATCGTGATTATATACGATTATGTTATTCGCTCGCTAACATATTTCCAAAATATTTTATGATCGCCAGTTATTATTTGTTATCATAATAGACTGAGGAATTTAATAAAATTTATTATTTATTTATTAGGTTGTAAAAAATTATCAAATCGGAATTTATTAGAATTATTAAATTGCAAAAAAATTTGAGAGCTTCTAATTTTAAACATTTCAAAGCGAGTATCATTGAAAAAATTGTAGTTTCTAGAAAACTATTTCTTCCGATTAATTATAGAACCGTGAAATTATTGAGGTGCTAGACCATTTTTAAACATTGTAGAAAGGTAATGTGTAATCTGTTCTAGAATTTTTATCGGACCGTGATCTTTTACATTACAAATTTTTACTTGTTAAAAAATTATGAAAAAATATATATATATTCGTTGTAGCTAACAGAGGTAAACATAGAAAAAAAATCTGATCGAAATCTTCAAACGCATAATTCTACTATCGCATGTGACAGATATACATTTCATGGGCACGTAGCTCAGCACGCATCGACACGCGGCAAAAATTGGTGCGTGTTGCACGGAAAGCGAAGTGCGCTCGCTCGGATAAATCTGAAACGTGGATTCAGAGCAAGGAGGACCGCCGAGACCGGCAACGAGTTAGCTCATAAATAATTGATGAGGAGGTGCGATGCAGCTTCGCTCGCCACCGATTTGTAATTGTAATTTCGTGAGGTGCATGTCCAGTTAAGCAAAGTAATTATGGCCAGGTTTCGTTATCGGGACACGTGCACGATGCAAGACAACGAGATGCGTCCGCCGCAAACTCCGAGTTGCTTCTCGTCTTTCTTTTCTCGCCATTCTAAAACTTGTTCATTTAAGGGTGTATTACACGTATTTTTTAACGAAATGAAAACAATTATGAGAGAGTAACAAATTTTTCTATATTATATTTGAAAATACAAAAATAGCGATTCAGAGATTCTGGATCAAAAATCATTTCAATAAAAAGTAGATATATTTTTATAAGATAAAAAATTTTATATTTAAATTATAAAATTATATTGTTAAATATATAAATATTGACCCTATTAAACTTTCATAAGTTAATAACATTTATTTTTGTATGGAAAGTATAAATTTTTTATTTCAGTCACTTTTTGCAGAGATTATTATACGCCTGATACATCTTTAATTTTCGTTGCTGCGAATAGTGCATTTTTAAAACAGGGATCGGAACCAATGCAACATAGGGACTAGATTTGTATTACAAATTACAAGCGCGCAAAAATATCTTTCGACGAAATCGCGACGATTGGAGTCCACTTTTCATGTTTATAATGAGAAATTAATTCCAAACTTATACCAGCATTGAATACCCTTTCGTAGAAATGCCACGCCGATACAGCATGAGGTACATAAAAAGTTTGCATGGTCGCACGCGAAAATTCGATTTGTCTTCGACGAAATACAAAGTTCAAGGTTTCTTGGGAGCATCGTCGGTCGCGCGAAATGATTAGGTCTCGGTCTGCCGAGCGCCGTAATCGCGAGTGTAGTACCTGCACCCAGCATTTCCACGGTTTCCCTCCTTGTCCTGCTTCCTCTGGCGAGCAATAAATTTTGTATTTGTCGTAACCTCGTTTTCAAACGTGACGTTCGGCAGCGGGTGTCTCGCGGGATCAATATTTTGAAAGGGATAAAGGGAAGGGGAAGAGAGAGTCATCCGAGGTACAGACGTATAAATAGATAATTCTTCAAGTAACAGCCAATGTAGCCACTGTAGCCCTGCACGTCAAACAACAATCGGATATATGGAAATTACTTGGCCGTATTCTGTCGCGCGTTAACGTTACATTTATGAAGTAGGGGAAAGAGACTTGGAAACGAAAAAAAATTTGATTATCGAGAGTCAATTGCAATCCAATCTACAGAAATTTACACAACACGATTCCGTTTATAGC